AGAACATTGAGGTCGCAGACCACAATCCATACACAAAACCTCACAGTGCTGGGTTAGCAAAGGACCTCCTCAAATCCTAACATCTGCACACTTTCCAGCCTCCTCCCCCCCCCATGCTTTTGTGTACTTAGTTATACAAAGGGAATGGTTTGTGTGCTATACGTTTTTATGTTGCTGTGTGTTTTGTGTCTGAATATGTATTGGTTAAAGAATTATTGTTATTTTTACTAGCATTTCTAGCACCAACATGTTCCGCCAAGCTTTGCAATTAGCAAACAGATATATTTGACAACAATTCGTTGATATACAGAATATTAACAGAAACAAGACCCTATTCAAACAAGCTTACAATCTCCGGGGAAGGGATAAAGACACACAAGACGAAGCACCATGTCAGAATGGAGGAGGATTTGATGGTTCCGATGCCTGTATCAATATAAGCTAGTACAAGTTGTGCATGGAAGAGTAAAAGTGGTGTAATTGACTGGAGACACAAGTGAAGAGCCATAGACTGCACAGCGTAGGGTTTCGGCCATGATTAAGGCCTCACTGCCGAAACGTCATATCCTTGTTTTGTCCTGCATTATTCCACAATAAAACTACTTTGTTCACCTTATGCTGTTCAGCCGGTGGCTCTTCACTTATGGATATATTGAGTTACACTTTGTTATTCTTCTCTTTACAAGAGAAGCATTTTGTAAGGAAGGTGACTATCCATATGCAAATCAATACATATGATTTAACACAAAGCAAATGTTAACAGCAGTGCCATCACAATTAGTATTAAGAATATTAGCCCAAAGATAGCTCACAAGTTCATGTTGGATGTGAGTCCATGAGATTACACCAGATCACACACAGTTTTAAACATTTTACTAGCTCTGCTTTTTTGATTTACATATTTTCAGGTGTGAAATCCTCAAAAATTGTTGTTTCTTCAATACAGCTCAATATTTCTCAAATGTAATGTAATCAGTTCTGTAAAGAATATTTCTTCATTTGTAATAATTTTCATGAAGTTATTTTTGCTGACTCTATTATTTAGGTGAATGCAGTTTAGTTCAACTTTCTTTATCTATAGAACTCAAAAGAACAAAATTATTCTCTACATACCGCATCTCAAACAAGTTGATAACTTTTCATCAGGAACAGATAATAACTGACAAATGTGACAGGTACCTATCCTATATTTACACACCAATGCACACACAAACTGCTGTCATCCCCATCTCTAATTAAATCTGATTATTCGTGTTTTTTGCTACTATATGTGCATTCTAATACATCTAACTACGATGGCATCAAACAAGAATGACAGTACATCGTATCCTCTACAGATGGGGAAAGTAAGATGCGTGACAGATAGGCATAGTGCAAGCTCAATGGAAATATATGCCTTAATTAAAGGTTCTCGATTTTATTTTCCACAACGGAATGGCTGTAATTGACTAGGGCTGCTAAAACGTATTGTGTACAAAGCCTTGCATAAGTATTCACAGCCTCGGTTTTTACCACTTGATATACACAACATAGTTGCACAGCAGTCTAGCTTGAATAAAGACTCCAGTCCATCGCGTTCAACCATTAAATGCATATTTTCATTGGACTAAAAAACAATCTGAAGTGATGGGCAATATGTGATGGGACACATATGTTAAGGAAACACTTGTTGGTTACATTTGTATGCACCTAAGTTGCTAGGAGACCTCTGCGTACATTGTGGTGCAACTAATTCCATTTCAAACTCACATTAATAGTTTAAGGGAGTCCAAATGTGTGCATATGGAAAATCAAATGACCTCTAATTAAACATGGAAGGTCCTAGTGTTTCTTAGAGGGCATATTTAAACAAATAGCAACATGGCAACAAGGGAAACTTCAAAACAAGTCTGTAACACGAAACATGACAATTGCTGGGTGAAAGACAGATGCCACAATGCAGCTATATCAATGGGTAAAGTAGTAGGCTTTTTGTCAATGACAGAGATTAACTTTTGGAAATGGATTCCAGCACTAGTGTTTTGGACCAAATACTCTGGAAAACGTGCTTTATAGAGTAACTTTCTTCTCTGGTTTTACCCATTCATGCACATTTTTTTTAAACATAGGAAGGTATCGAAAATATAAAAAGTATTCTGGGTATAAACTATACTCCTGTCTGTTATTCTGAGGACAGGAAAAGAAGCGTGGGGTATGGAAGGAAGAGAAACATTGTTACTGACATTCATCAATGATCCTACAAATGTATTATTTACATAATGACCTTCCTGACTGGAGACAGAGCTAACTCTACAATCTCACTTTCTTCTGAATACCCTGATCATCTAATACTACCTTTGGTACAAGTTACATGGGCTTAGTGAGAAACATCTCAAGACCTAAATTTAGCCATTATTGGTTTGGGGTGTAAAGTAAGCACCCTGCAGTATTTACTGACTATTTTCTGGCAGCAACATATGTGCCCTTGCAACAATATTTCAAATTTAGTGAGTTGTTCGGCAATAAAAGCTAAACTTTGCATTCGGTTTTGAATGAACTGCAGTTTGTCAACATTTTAGGCTTTTAACCCAAATTCTGCAACTCTGAACCATATGGATATATCACAAAACAAACAAAATGATCAACGGACAAACCACTTTGTTTGTTTAGTAATTTGGTACTCCCTGTGTGACACCAGAAAAAGAAGGAGGGAATGGGGAAGAAGTGATTTTTATTGTTATTTTGACAAGTATGCAGCATAGTTTGCCACGATGGACAAGAGGTTTGCTCAGTGATGTTGGGATATGTCTCCTGTCCAATCAAGAGTTGGATCCAAAGTGTGTAAAAATGTAGTACAATAACAATTTTCCCGACTCAAAACTCTAAATGGACAAAATTTGGCTCATTTACACAAAGCACTTTTCCAACAAAACTGATATTTTATATTGCTTATGTTGTTTTATAAAAACTGCTAAATTTTACTAGGGATGTGAAAGTACTTATCTCAGTTTTTTTGCTATTATTATTCATTTCTGCCCATTATCCTATTTTTATTGTATTAAAATATAGGTCTAGGGTTATCTGTTTTCATTCTAAAACATTTTGAAAGCCAAATCCTGCCGTCTAGAAGATGATGCTGACAATTAGAGCAATGCTAGAATTGGCATACAAATACATTATTATCTTATTTATTTTACTATTGCAAACAGAACTTATAGGGCAGCTTAGTAAAAATCACTCTATACTAAATATAAGAAAATACAGTATGTTTGTGATGGTGTCTGACTGCAGGAAGAAATTTCTGCTTGGGAATACATTGCACAAAGTCCACGTATTAGAAGAATATGGTATCACACAAAAGACCTTCTAGATTCCTCCTGCAGAACTGTAAGTAATGAAGAGAACAAAAAAAAAAAAAACTAAAAATAAAATCAATAGGATCCCTTTCTGCTGGGAGCATCTCACCTAAGGAAAAGGCAGGTGAACACTTCAAAACCATGTGAGCTATTTTCAAACACACCGGCCTAAAACGCACTCGTGGAGAACACACTCTAAATGCTTTTAATATCTGTTTTGTTAAACGAAGTGTCTCTCACTGGGTTTTATTGCGTCTTTCATGTAGTTGCAATGATTTTTCCTGAAGAAAACTAGTGATGTTTTACAATATGTGCCTTAAGTGTGTGTAAACAATATTTTCCATTCCACCTCTTCTAGGAAATATGTGGCCAAAGTGTCTTCTCCGACCTTGGCAGGGTTTCTTACTAAAGTGAGATTTCAAATTTATGGTTAAATTAGCTGAAAGTATACCTGACTTTCTTGTTCGACAATTTTTACCTTAAATTCTTATGTTACTGAATAAACATTTGCCTGTTAAATGAATGTTTTCATTTAATTTGTTTCTCTCTTTAATGATCTATTATGACACGTCCCACGTCTTATCTTTTAGTTTGCTACCACTTGAGATAATTAGATATGAGAGTGTTTCTTTTAGCTTTCCAAACCTTATGAGTATTCATATTTCCAGATAAGGTGTCTGATAGATCACTGAAGCCAGATGTTCAGCTTATGTACGGTAGCTTTAAGTACTAGTCAATGATAAAATATATTGCTAAATCTGATGTACATCACGATTTCATTTTACACAAAGTAGGGGAGTACATGAGCTATATCAACGGTTATCAGATTTAGAGACAGAGAGGGAAGTAGAGAGATGGAACATATAATGGTAAGCTGTGTATTATGAGAAAATAATGCCATGAAGATGTTCTAGAGACATCATAATAAACCATGACACTGAAGGTTCAGTAGTCTATAAATATATCTAGAACCCAAGATGGCATCATGTTCCGATAGTACATGCTTCAACAATAAAGGGACACTCTAAGCAACAAAAGAACTTGATCGTAAGTTTAGGTGTATAGATCACATTATATATGTATCCCTGGCCACAGCTCCCCTGGCTGTGATTCACTCAACTCCCCTAAACACTTTATGGAAAAGCCAATTTAAGGTCAAAAGTAGCCGAGCTGGAAATATTTGTTAATGATACAAATTAAGTTAGGGCGCACACATAATAATATACTAATAATCTTTTCATTCTAATTAAATTCCCCTATCTTAGAATATAAATATGGGGATTTGGGGATTCAGTTACACTATAAGGCCATATGTTGTTAAGCCCACCACTACTCCACACAGGGTCGGTGCAAGGATTTTTGGGTACACAGGCGAAGATGATTTTAGCAGGGCCGGTGCTTGGATTTTTAGGTACATAGGCGAAGATGCATTTTTCCGCCCCCCCCCCAAAAAAAATCTTCACCTATGTGCCTCTTAACCAGCCCCTCTCCCCTCCCCGACCATTAGTGGTCCCTTCCGTTCCCTGTCCCTTAGTGTTCTTCTCCCCTCCCCCCTTTCCCCCTCCCCCCTTTTTTCCCTGTCTCTTGGTGTTTCTCTCCCATTCCCTCCCTGTCCCTTGGTGCACCCCCCACCCCTTTAGTGGTCACACTTCCTGGTGTGTGCCTCCTACCTCTATTGTTGCATTGCCGAGCGGAGCAGATCCCCTAAAGGAGCTTCAGTTTTCTGTACCCGGACGGACTGACAGGGAGTGCTCTCTCTGTGAGCACCTCCTGTCAGTCTGGCCAGGTACAGGAAACAGAAGCTCCTGTACCGCGCTCTGCTCCACTACACTCTGTACACACTGACAGTCACACACTCAATGACAAACACACAGACGCCACTGACAGACACAGACTCATTGATCTGACACACACTCATTCATTGACACTGACAGACCCACACTGATTGACACTCATTGACAGACACACTGATAGTCACACACAGACTCAATGACAAACATACTCTCACTGATTTGACAGACACACACTCATACACTGACAAACACACTCATCATACACTGACAGACACACTCATACACTCACATGCACACACACTCATACAATCACTCACAGACACACAGACAGTCACTCACTCACAAACACACACTGTCACTCACAGACACACACCAAAGCACACAGTCACTCACAGACACACACACACACTGTCACTCACAGACACACGCTCAGTCACTCAGACACACACACTCATACAATCACTCACTCACACACACTCAGTCACTCAGACACACATGCTGTCACTCACAGACACACATGCTGTCACTCACAGACACACATGCTGTCACTCACAGACACACGCTCAGTCACTTAGACACACACACTCATACAATCACTCACACACACACACACACTGTCACTCACAGACACACGCTCAGTCACTCAGACACACACATGCACACACACTCATACAATCACATGCACACACACTCATACAATCACACACACACACTCACAATCACACACACACACTCACTCACAGTCACTCACAGACACACACAGAGACGCACACAGTCATTCATGGACACACACACTGTCACTCACAGACACACGCTCAGTCACTCACAGACACACACACTGTCACTCACAGACACACGACTCAGTCACTCACAGACACACACACTGTCACTCACAGACACACGCTCAGTCACTCACAGACACACACACTGTCACTCACAGACACACACACACTGTCACTCACAGACACACACACAGACAAACACACTGTCACAGACACACACACACAGACACACACACTGTCACTCACAGACACACACACACAGACACACACACTGTCACTCACAGACACACACACAGACAAACACACTGTCACTCACAGACACACACACACAGACACACACACTGTCACTCACAGACACACACACACAGACACACACACTGTCACTCACAGACACACACACACACACAGACACACACACTGTCACTCACAGACACACATCACATACATTCACTAATAATTTTATAAATAAACATTTTCCACCCAGCCTCCCTACCTGGAGAGCTGGTGTGGATGCTGGATCGGTCCCTGAGGGCTGGGGCTGCTGAGAGGCGCGCGGCAGTGCTGTGATCAGGCGCGCGAGGGAGGCTCTAATCTCCATCCTCTGCTCCCTCGCGGGCTGCCTACTGATGACGTCATATTCCGGCTCCCGCGGCATCAGTAGGCAGCGCGCGAGGGAGCAGAGGGTGGAGATTAGAGCTCCCTCGCGCGCCTGATCACAGCACTGCCGCGCGCGCGGGGGGTCGAGATGGTGGCCTGGCAGGAGGGAGAGCTTCCCTCCTGCCGGTCACTGAAATATTGCGCCCCCAGAGCCCGTGCGCCCTAAGGCGGCCGCCTGTGCCACCTTATGGACGCGCCGGCCCTGGATTTTAGTGCCCCACAACCAAAAAGGCATCCTCACCTGTGTGCTTCTTAACCCGTCTTTTGTTTCTTATCCCCTTTTTAAAAAATGTTTTACCCCCTTTAGTGTATCTTATCCCCTATTGTTCCCCATTGTGTGTCTTACACCTCCCTTGTGTATCTCTTACAACCCCTGTGGCTACAGAACCTCGCCACAGGCTCCTGGAGGGGCCTGCTTGCCAGCCTCCTGCCTCAGGACTATGAGCCCCGCTATATACCTTGCCCAACACACTTTAAAAGGCTCCGTTCATGTGAATTTTGTACTTTTGTACTCCAGAAAGGGTGATGGACCAATAGCCCTAATTCCCTGGAACTGTTTTGGGCATAGGACCATGTGCATGGTCAGTCAAAATTATGACTTCCATGGAAATTCCGAACCCCTGAACTGATCTGTGTGAATTTTGGGTATGTTGGGTCCCCAGAACGGGGCTATCAGGGATGTGACCTTGGTTGGGTTTCCATGTGTTTTGGGGGTACTTTTGGGTGTTGTTAAAATGTATGTTTTCTGTGCCTGGAGATAATTGAATTTAGTACAGTTCCTGACTCAATTATCTCTCAATTATATTCTTTGTTGTGTGGGAGTGTCCTGGACCTGAGAGCCAATGTAACCTCTGGGGATTGCTATACTCATTATACTCCCTTGGATTATAATCACTAGCTCTTGTAAGAGCTACCCTGCTACACTCTCTGGAGTAGGAGAGGTCTACCCACTGGAAGCTGGATCACTGTCTTGGGTCCAGGGTCGGTGGAGGACAGCAAGACTGCATGCTGGCTGTGGGGACTACGGTGGTTATGGTGTCTGGTGGAGTGCTTGGAGGTACTAGGAAGCAGCAATTGGTGGAGGCACCCTGTCGGGGTGACAGGCGGTCCGTCACAACCTCCCTTTGTGTGTCTTACTCCCCCCAGCCCCTTTGTGTGTCTCCTTCTCTCCCAGCCCCTTAGTGTCTTTTACTCTTTCCAGCTCCTTTGTGTGTTTCTCTTTCACCACCAGCCTGTCTATCTGTCCCCAGTCCCTCTGTGTCTCTTTTTCCTCTTCTCCCGCCCCTCTGTGTCTCTTTCACCCCCAGCCCCTTTGTATTTCCATCTCCAGGCCAATCTGTTTGTCACTTTGATCCCCAGCCACTCTGTGCATTTTTCTCACCCCCAGGCCCATCTCTGTGTCTTTCTCCCCCCTCGTGTCCCTCTGTGTGTCTTTCTCCCCACTCAAGCCCCCCTTTTTGCCACTCTCCCTTCCATGTCCCTTAGTGTTCTTCTCTCCTCCCTTCCATGTCCATTAGTGGTCCTCTCCCCTCCCTGTCCCTTAATGGTCCTCTCCCCTCACTCCCCTGTCCCTAAGTGCTCCACTCTCCTCCCTCCCCTGTCCCTTAGTGTTCCTTTCCCCTCCCTCCCATGTACCTTAGTGTTCCTCTCCCTTCCCTCCCCTGTCCCTTAGTATTCCTCTCCCCTCCATGTCCCTTAGTGTTCCTCTCCCCTCCATTTTCTTTAGTGTTCCTCTCCCCTCCCTACTCTGCCCCTTAGTGTTCCACTCTCCTCCCTCCCCTGTCCCTTAGTGTTCCTTTCCCCTCTCTCCCATGTACCTTAGTGTTCCTCGCCCATCCCTCCCCTCTCCCTTAGTGTTCCTCTCCCCCCTTACCTGTCTCTTAGTACCCCCATTCCCCTTAATGTCCCCCCTCTTAGTGTTCCTCTCCCCTTTCTCTTACTTGTCCCCCCCACCCCAGTGTTCCTTTCCCTTCCCTCCCCTGTACCTTAGTGCCCCCCTCTTAATGTTCCTCTCTCTCTCCCCAGTGTTCCTCTCCCCTCCCTCTCTTTAATGGTTGCCCCCGTGTTCCATAGTGTTTTTCCCCCCTCCCCTGCCCCATAGTGTTCTCCCCTGACCCATGGTTTTCTTCTTCCCCCTTCCCTGTCCCACAGTGTTCTCCCCATCCTATAGTGTTCTTCCCCACTTCCCTGACCAATAATGTTCTTTTCCCCCTCACCTGTCCCATAGTGCTCTCCTCTCCATCCCATAGTGTTCTTTCCCCCTGTCCCATAGTGTTCTTTCCTGCCGCTCCCCTGCCCCATAGTGTCCTTTCCCCCATCCCTGTCCCTTCGTGCCCCTCTCTCTCCCACACTTGGTCCCTGGTGTGTCTCCTACCTCTCTTTGTATCGTGGCCAGGCAGAGCAAAGAGCACTTCCTGTTGGTCCAACCAGGTACAGGAAACTGATCCTCCTGTACTGCGGTCCTCTCAACCATGCTACACTGGTAGCATGAATTGCTGTGCACCCACCTCCTGCCGGTCACTCTAATCTAGCGCCACCCCCCATGCCGATGCACTCTAAGGCAGCCGCTTGTGCCGCCTTATGGACACGCCAGCCCTGACTTCACAGTACCCCAATATTGGTGGGTCCTACACTAAATCCAAATGAGGTAGACAAATAAATAGTGCTAAATAAGCTAAAGTGTATTAAATTAATGTATTGTAAGAGCATTGTGAGTATACAAAATTAATGTAATAAAAGCAATTAAAAACAGTGTAAAAACTAAACAATTAAAGTGTTAGTGCCTGGATGAATATATGCACAAAGCAAATCAATATGTGCTAAATAAAGATTATAATAAAAGTGACATTTCTATCCAAAACTCCTCATATATACACACCTGTAGTCACCTCCAAAGGGGCCTCTGAAGCTAGGGGCTTGGGCGGGGTGCTTAATTCCAAACCTGCGTAGCAAAGAAAAAAGAAATATGCATTGTACAGGAATGGTGCTGCCATAGTGACCAATGATACATGATACAAATTGATACAAAACGAGGGCCTTCAGTTTGGCTACACGGGCCTTCAATTTAAAACCTCTCTTTAGTAAAAAACTAAGTAAATGTTTTCATTTTCTTTATTGCACATTCCATGAGAATTGTGAGTAATGATGTGAGAATTCAAAGTGAATGTCAAATGTAAGACAAAAAAAGCTGAATTAAAAAAAAACTAGTATTAGCCAAACTGAAAAAAAAATCGCTAAGTCAGCTACACTTCCATATTATATTTGAAATTCACTTTAAAATCACTTTGAATTCTTAACAATTCTCACTTTAGTGTGTGTTTATTTATATGTATGATTAACAGAGAAGTACTTGTAACGTAAACACTCTGTGCTGTAAGATCTGATCGAAAATGAAACCATTTTGTTTCCATTCAGGCGGTGTCAGTCACAGCCAGGGGAGGTGTGGCTTGGGCTCCATAAACAAAAACAAATTTGATTTAACTCCTAAATGACAGAGAACTGAGAGCAATGTAACTGCAGGGGCCTGGTCTAAACAAAAAAAAAGGGTAGAATAGACATTAATATTTAGTATTGGTCTAATGTAGGGGTTAATGTTCAGTGTAGCGTAGCGGTTAATGTTTAGTTTATTGTGTTATGGTAATAAAGCGGTAAAGGTATGGACT